TCTATCTATCTATGTATGTATGTATGTATGTATGTGTCTACCTGTGTGTCTGTCTATCTGTCTGTCTGTCTGTCTATCTATCTATCTATCTATCTATCTATCTATCTATCTATCTATCTATCTGTCTACCTGTCTGTCTGTCTATCTATCTATCTATCTATCTATCTATCTATCTATCTATTTATCTGTCCATCCATCCATCCATCCATCATCTTCCTCATAACTGAAGGCCATTGCTCCATTGTTCCTCGTCCAGCACCTGCCATCCTTTTGACCCTAGCTTTGCTAGCCATGCACTCTATTTCTGGCCTCCGCTTCCTTTTCAGAGGGCCACATATCAGCCTCTTATAGTACACAACACCTTCTCCTTCTCTGTGGAGGGCTATTAGGGGGGCTGTGGATGTGTGTGAAAAGTATCTGGAGGAGTCAGGTCAAGTTGTTTTGCCAAGAACGGAAAGCTTTCACCGGCTGGTCTCGGGATCAGGCTTGTTAGCGGAGAACAGAAGAGGTAGCGGCTGGCGAGAGCGCGGCCCGGGTGTGCTTAACGTCCTCGAGGGCTTTAGATCATTTCCTCTCTCTGATACACACAAAACCTTGAGCCTTGATAAGAGCTGGAGTCAGTCAAGGCCATCAGGCCAATCAATGCCACACTTTAAGGAGCACTCTAAGCAAAATACGTCAAATTTACTGTCTGATTCCACATCTGGCCTGAGTAATGTGAATACTCAAGTATTCGCTGGCTGTGTTGGTACTCAGTATTCGTCTTTTATTAACCATTTAGACCCCACCTTAATTCTGCACTCTTGTAGATGTGGTTTAGGGTGCAGTACGACTCACTGAGAGCAAAACTTCGATAATTTGATAATCTTCTCAGTAGTGAACGTGTTTGTGAGTGAAAAGTTTAGCATCAGTGTTGTGCTGGACTCCTGCTCAGGGGATTGTGGGCTGTAGCAGGTGGTGAGAGAGAAAAGAAAAAAAGTTAAGAATTTTAGAACTTAATTTAAGTAATAACCAAGTTTTCCATGAAACATAATAACAGAAAAATTATGTGAAGAAAACTGCCAAACAGTAAATATGAGGAACAGCATGAATTAAGGAAAAAAAATTACAGTTTTTTTCCATGTGTCTTATCAATATGTATTCTAAATATATTCTAAATAGGTTATTTTTTAATGTATTGAAATGGAAGAAGTGGGACTTTTTAAATAGTGTATTTGGTTTATTCAGCTATCACTGCTTTTTCAAAGTATTTTGCCCAACCCTGTATATACTGTGACAACTTGGCAAAGAAGGAAACATATATATATATATATATATATATATATATATATATATATATATATATATGTATATATATATATATACACACCGATCAGGCATAACTGCTGTGTCTGATCCACTCCCACCAGCACACTAACACACCACCACCAGATGGACTACAGTCTGTAACTGTAGAACTACAAAGTGCACCTATATAGTAAGTGGAGCTGATAAAATGGACAATGAGTGTAGAAACAAGGAGGAGGTCACAATGTTATGCTATGTCATTCTATGCAAATGTATTTTTCTGTCCCTAGCATTTACAGATATATTACACTTAAAAAACATGTTATGGTTATAATTTATTTATATTTTAAAGTAAAACAATGTTATTTTAAGAATTCCACCTTCTTGAGCCTCAATTTAGCAATATTGGTTTTTAAATCAATCATATAGAATTCCAAGCACCACAGAAGAGCTCGTCCCCACAGTCATGTGTATGAAGAAATAAACAATTTTACTATTTTAAATCTGCTATTTTAACTACAATAATCTATACATGACTATGGAATATATTAATTAAATGACATAAAGAAAACAAATGCCAAATAAATATTAAAAAATATTTAATGAAAGTTGTTGTCCCCAGGAGTCGTGTCACTGGTGTTACTGCATAACTAAAAATCTCTTATTTTGAAATAAAAGTCACACTGATGACATCACTCGACTTCCTTTTCCCTGTTTTCTGAGGATCTATGAAGAAAAGCTCATGGTAAGTCCACTGTGTCTTTCAGTTATCAGAGATTTTCTCATTTAGCTCATGATTTCATATGAAGCTTTTAGCTGAAGTCACTGGTGTGACCGACTTTATTCTGAGGTAACTGTGAAAAAATAGAACACAAATGGATTAAATTCCATATTTTAGTGGATATTCCATGATTGACAACATGTGGTTTGATGCTCTGTAACAGCCATAACAATTTTCATTAAAAATGTCTCTGGTGTCCCTTTATTACGTGTAACACCAATGAGGATCAGTAACACCAGTGACTCCTATGGAGAGACAGAAAAGTGGACGTTTATTCATTCAGTTTCACTTCTCAAATATTTGCTTTTGGTAAAAGAAGTATATATGATGGACCATTGTATGTATAGTACTGGTCCTGGTACTCGGTATCGACAGATACTTATGGATCAGTTATCGGTATTGGAAGGGAAAATTGGTATCGGTGCATCCCTAACCGTGTTTCACTCAGAAAACAGTTGTCAAAACTTTAGTGTGGGTGGGCCAGTGGTGGACAGTAACTAAGTAAATGTAGTTCATCACTGTAGTTAAGTACTTTTACTGATTCCAGTTTGGGCAACTTTTTACTTTCACTCCACTATATTATGCAAAATCTGTCGTTCCTTTTGGTTTATGTGTGTATTCAAACATAACATGTCAAAACGAAAGAAGCGCAAAGTAAGAGCACCAATCAGGGCACAGAATTTTAAGGTCTTTGTTTTTTCAGCTTAAGCCTTAAAAGCAATATTGGCAAAAACTTGATCTGTGATGAGTGTTTGGCAGTGAAATTCGAAGAGCTTTTTCTCTCACCACAGGCATTTTGTTGAGATTGGAGACCTTGTCGGATGAAATCGAGACGGCTGACTGTTTGTTGAAGCACATTTCCTTGACGCTGATCGAACATTTTATATAAAACAATTTGTGAGGAAGGAAGCTGGTGAAACTGTTTATTTGTCTTCCTGCTGGTGTTGTCCTGAATGGAATATGGCTGGCGTGGATTCACTGGTCAGTGTAGAAGAAATAGATGTCAGAAATAGGTCAGACTGGTGGGATGTTTTTTGTGCAACCAATTACAGAAGCCTGAAGGCCTTTAAGACATTTTCCCCAAATTTTCAAAAACTGTGTGATGATTTTAGTGGCCAGGGCACCACCAAGCCTTTAGGACATTACACCTCAGAGGAGAGAGACACTAAGATGAGTAAATATGTACACTTACCTTGACTCCATGGAAATGGTGGCACAGGGGCCTCTGTCCTCTTATAGGAGCCGGGAGACGTCACAGCTATCCTGGAGAGGGGAGTAAACCTGGAGAGGGACAAGAACGAGTAAATTAAAGCTGTAGCTAAATGTGCATGTGAATGTACTTACCGGTCACTGAGAAATGGCCACATAAATATTGTCGACGACAAAAATCTTGTCTGAACAGAACCTCGTATCTCCATTTTTGCCATTTTTCAGTTTTTGAGGTGATTTGAAAGTGCCTGTTGTCCTTTATAACATGTTTAAATTTCATGATGATTGGACCAAAAGTAATGACCCAGAAGTACTTGGAAAAACGTCTGGTTCCATTGACTTACATTAAAAGTACAGTATGTTTTTTCCTTCTCCTGTAAAGTTATCGTTTTGGAGATACAAAGGTTTGTTCCATCAGCAGCACTATGCATATATTAATGGTTGATGGTAATCCAGTGGTGTACTGTTACCCCTGTAATCTGTGTTGGTATATCCCAGCCTCAATTGGGAGCAAGGAGGCGGTGTGCTTAGAGTATAAAGCCAGACCATAGGGGTTTTGCACGAGTTGAGTCAGCTCAAGGAAGCCACAGTGTGTCGTCTGTTTGGCTTCCAGACATATTTATGTGCATCAGGTTGTGAGCAGGAGTGACTGCCTGATATTAGCTGAGCAGCTAATAGAGTCACTAAAAGAGCCAATTTTGTTTTTAAACCTGTAAATATGTCAGTGTCAATGTCTTTACTGGCTGATCCACTCCTAATAAATGACTGAGAGCACTTGAATTTACTGCGATGTGTGTGAGAGACTACTTGAAGTTGAATCCAGACCTTCTTTCCTGCACGTAGCCTCACATTACTGGTGACATCATGTCCCACTACACATGGTGACAATGGTGCACCACAACACTGTGTCTGGGTTCTCAAATTACAAACAGATTCACAGGCGCTACCTTTGAAGTCATTGCCAGCCTCTGGGCTTCTTCTGCAGATAGAGCATGTAGCCTTAAGGTGTACTGCAGAAAAGGGGAGGTTAGTGGTGTTTTTAGGTGTCTTTAGGGGTTTTTAGGGGTTGTTTAGAGGATAGTGGTGTTTTTTAATTTTTTTCAGAGAATATTTGTGTTTTATGAGTATTTTATTTTTAGAGTTTAATGGTGTTTTTATGTGTTTTTTAGAGGTTAATGGTATTTTTTTTATATTTTTTTCCAGAGGATATTGGTGTTTTTACGTGTTTTTTAGAGGTTAATGGTATTTTTTTATTTTTTTCAGAGAATATTTGTGTTTTATGAGTTTTTTTAGAGGTTAATGGTATTTTTTTATTTTTTTCAGAGAATATTTGTGTTTTTATGTGTGTTTTTTAGAGGTTAATAGTGCTTTTTTCAGAGGATATTGGTGTTTCTAGGTGTTTTTAAAGGTTAATGGTGATTTTTGGGTGTTTTTAGAGGTTAGTGGTGTTTTTTCAGAGGATATTGGTGTTTTTATGTGTTTTTAGAGGTTAATAGTGTTTTTTTCCAAAGGATATTGGTGTTTTTATGTGTTTTTTTAGAGGTTAGTGGTGTTTTTAGATCTTTTAGAGGATAATGGTGTTTGTTAGGTGTTTTTAGTACTGTTAAGACTTTACTGAACTCTGGATCTTCTCCTGTAATCTCTGCTGGCCTGTAATGCAACCATCCTCAGTTCTTGCTCGTTGTAGAACATTTCTGTCTAACTTTGTGTGTTTTTATTTCAGTGTTCTGAACTACATCCACTTGAAGAGCATTCTCAGTCTCAGCTTTGACGGACTGAAGGGTGTGAAGAGAATGTGAGTATCTGTCACTCTTTGTGTTCTCAACGCCACAACACTGAAACTCCCGATAGTGAGTGAACTCCAGCAGGGATGCAGAATTTAGGGGTGCCCTAACCCTGATTTTGAGGATTGCAACTACTAATACAATAATAATAATAATAATAATAATAATAATAATAATAACAATAATAATAATTGCCCTGTGATGGACTGGCGACTTGTCCAGGGTATATCCTGCCTTCCATCCAGTGACTGCTGGGATAGGCTCCAGCTCCCCCTGCAGCCCAGAAGGATAAGCGGCTTAGAAGATGTAAGAAGATAATAATAATAATAATAATAATAATAATAATAATAATAACCTTTGACCTAAGCCTCATGTGTGCTTGTTTTTACACGAGTCCAGAGAGGCCATGAGGTAGTTATAAATTTCTGTTTTGTTATCATGAGATCACAACTTAACTATCTTGTAATATCAACATAACAAAGTTGTTACCTTGAGATCAAGACTTAATTATCTTGTGATCTCAAGATAGCAAAGCTGTTATTACGAGTTAATTATCTTCTGATCTCAAGATAGCAAAGTTATCATCACAAGTTCATTATCTTATGATCTCAAGATAACAAAGTTGTTATTACCACAAGTTCATTATCTTGTGATCTCAAGATAGCAAAGCTGTTATCACAAGTCAATTATCTTATGATCTCAAAATAGCAAAGCTGTTATCACAAGTTCATTATCTTGTGATCTCAAGATAACAAAGTTGTTATCATCACAAGTTCATTATCTTGTGATTTCAAGATAGCAAAGCTGTTATCACGAGTTCATTATCTTGTGATCTCAAGATAACAAAGTTGTTATCATCACAAGTTCATTATCTTGTGATTTCAAGATAGCAAAGCTGTTATCACGAGTTCATTATCTTGTGATCTCAAGATAACAAAGTTGTTATCATCACAAGTTCATTATCTTGTGATTTCAAGATAGCAAAGCTGTTATCACGAGTTCATTATCTTGTGATCTCAAGATAACAAAGTTGTTATCATCACAAGTTCATTATCTTGTGATCTCAAGATAGCAAAGCTGTTATCACGAGTCAATTATCTTGTGATCTCAAGATAACAAAGTTGTTATCATCACAAGTTCATTTTTCTTGTGATCTCAATATAGCAAAGCTGTTATCATGAGTTAATTATCTTGTGATCTCAAGATAGCAAAGCTGTTATCATCATGAGTTAATTATCTTGTGATCTCAAGACAAAACAGTTGTTATCATTAATTAATTAATTATCTTTGTTCTGAGTTCACATCACTTTAACCGCAGACTTCATTTCTATATTTAACCCTCTAAAAGTCCAGGCCCAAAGTTTTATTGCTCACTTCTATAACCTAAGAATAGCTCGGTTTATGTCGAAGTCCCTGTAGATACTGAATAATAAGCCTCAGTGTGTAATAAGTCTGGATTTTAGGGGATTAACTGGAGCTTCCAACATGAAAATAAGTGAGACCGTTAGACTCTGACAGGGAACATGAACATTTACTGAAAAGATGATATTCTTTTACAGCGTGTTTGAGATGGAACACTGTTTGTTCTGTGCTTCGATGCTATTTTGGAGACAAGAGTGAAGAAATGGTGTGTTAAGGTTGCCAAACCATCCCCTCTGATCAGATAAATCACCGGAGCACAAATATTTTGACATTTCTGTCCTTTAACCCAGTGAAACACATTAGTCCAGTGCACATTTTCTAAATTTTGAGACTCTGTACGGCTCCAGTGTTCATGCAGGTGGTTTGCTGGCTGGACGTATCCCAGCAAAGAGTGTATGTTCAAGTTTTTGCACATGTTAAACAGCTCCCTGATAAAAACATAGATAGTGCTTAATGCTGGGCCTGTCTTTCATCACCATTTTCCACCTGTATTCTCAGATTTCTTCAATGAATCAATCGATCAATCAATCAACCTTTATTTTCATTCAGAAACACACTGAGAGTGACCCTCATTTTCAATGAAGCTGAGCATTTACAACATTAAAGTGATTGAAAAACAAATTAAAATGGAGTTTAATCAGGTTAAACTAAAAGGACCAGAACTACATAAACAAATAAACAGAAAAAACAGCTGAGATAAGTGACGAAAGAGTTAAGAAACCAATTAAGATTTGATTAAGAAGGAGAAATATAAAATAAAGCCAAGATAATAAACCAATTTCATCATAAAAGGATAAATAGGCAAACTAATATAAAAAGCAGTCAAGTTAATTGATTATAAAAGATAATTAAAATAAATAAATAATACTAGAATTTTACTCGAAACTTGCTTGTAATTTCCCTCTAAAGAGAATTTACAGTTAGCAGCTACTTTACAGCTACTCTTAATGCAACAAAAATACATGAATACACGCTAATAAAACACATATAACAATCTCAACATCTGGAATGCTGTCACACCTGCAGAGCCATCTGTTAAAGACTGATGTTACACTTTAAATTATGCCTCAAACTGTTTTTAAGCCAGTGTAGATTCTGAAGGTCAGCCAACAAAATTTGTCAATGTCAGTGATACATTTTGAAGGACGGTGCTGAGCCAAGACCGTCCACTTTACGGCTAATAAATCAAAGAGCTCTGTCTGAGTGCACAGCTGCTGACGTCTCAGAGCCTTTTGGAAAAACCGTAATGGAGCGTTTTACCGAAAAAGCTCAAACTGCACTCCCACAGTAAAAATAAATAAATAAATAAATAAACAGTGAGGTATTCAGATCCTTTATAGGGCATTTTCTATTGGGAGGTGTCTGTCCCAAACCCTAACCCAGGGGTCGCAACCCAAATCTTAAGAGCCATTTGGTCTTTTCAACAAAAATCAAACCAACTTGGGAGCCACAACATTTAATGTCCATTTTACCATCTTGGATGTAAATATGTCTCAGTATGTGCTGATGTTCTAGTATAGACTGAAGAATATAAACACAAACTCAGACTTACTTTGCTCTGCTTTAAGCTTTAGCTCAGCTATAGCCGCTTTTCTCTCATCTCCAGCAGGAAACTTTTCCACAAAAGTAGAACAGTTTCTGTAAAATGTCTCTCAATGTTCGACTTTTTACGAGGCTGAAGTCGCTTCTCATTCAGCAGCTCCTTGTTCGAATTTTCCCATTTCACCTAAAATGGTGCCTGAGGCACCACAATGTAACTGACTCACCATTTAAGGTGGAACGGGAGAATTCGAACAAGAAGCTGGAGAATATCTGACTTCAGCTTTGTGACTTTTTAGTGTTTGTCAGTTTCTCGTTGCAGATTAAACGTATCAGGAAACCAGCTGGAGTGATTATAAACACTAATAAGTCCATTCATCTCCAAATTATCGATGTTCGTCTTAAATCTCTCTCTTTTCCGTTTCGTTAGCTACTAGCTAGGAGAGACTGTTGTCTGTGTTGCTATGGTGACCAGCAGTCTGCGCTGATCTTCAGGGTTAAAGGGTGAATCAGCAGTTCTACATTAACTCCAGAGTTTAAGACCATTTATTGTTAAACTGTGTTGAACGATCAGCAGAGCTTTATTTTACTGTAAAGGAGGATTATTTTATTTTTACCTACTAATCAGCTTCAGCTGTGGAGCCACAACAGGGCAGTAAAAGAGCCACATGTTGCTGACCCCTGCCCAGACCCCTAAATTTACACTTGGGAAAATAATTCTTGCTCTTTTTTTGCATTTTTTTCAATGTTGTTTTTAAAATGATCGTTTTGATTTATTTTAAAGTGAAGCTAAAAGATTTAGATTTATTATGAGTTTAATTTTTTACATAAATACTTTATTCGAAAAACACTGTCCCATGTGTTCATGTCACTACCGAAATACAGACTTATAGTCTGTAGGCGGAGCCTTATTTTAGCCACTCCCCTGGATTTTAGCACAGGAAGTGAGGCTGCATCCCTCATGGCCACATGGTGAGCAGTTAGATCCCATTGTTTTGAAGTAAATGAGTCCCAGAGTCTGAAAATCTGTGTGGAACATTAAGAATCATCATATTTTCTGCAGTTCAGCACTTTTTAGTGTTTTAATGTAAAATATGATGATTTTCTGTGTGAACAGCTGTTCAAAGCTGTGTTTGCTGGTCATGAACTGCTGAGTTTTTGAGCTCAAAATGAGCTAAAATTGAAATTGTCACTACTGAAACAGTCACTACTGAGACATTCAGTAAAGTTTGGTGTTATGATTGTTTTGGTAGAGACTAAATTAAATGTTTAATTATTAGTTTTAGTAAAATAAACATAATTAAGGTTTAGAGTCACTCAAAGTTTAGCCTAAAGTCCAAGATCACTTAAAAGTCCTGAATGTGTTTCTGACTCTAAACCAGTTCAGTAGAAACATCCATGTATGTTTGTACGGCTCTGTTCTTCTCTTTTTTGTGATTTTTTTGGTCTAAAATAAGGTGCTAAAGCCCCAACGGCAGATGTGTGACCGGTCACAAAACAGTGCAGATGTGTTGCACTGGAGCGAGTGGATCAGACACAGCAGTGCTGCTGGAGTTTTTAAACACTGTGTCCACTCACTGTCCACTCTATTAGACACTCCTACCTTGTCAGTCCACCTTGTAGATGTAAAGTCAAAGACGATAGCTCATCTGCTGCTGCACAGTTTGTGTTGGTCATCCTCTAGTCTGTCATCAGTGGTCACAGGACGCTGCCCACGGGACGCTGTTGGCTGGATATTTTTGTTTGGTCAGTCCAGCAGCGACACTGAGGTGTTTAAAAACTCCAGCAGCACTGCTGTGTCTGATCCACTCAGACCAGCGCAACACACACTAACACACCACCACCATGTCAGTGTTACTGCAGTGCTGAGAATGATCCACCACCCAAATAGTACCTGCTCTGTGAGGGTCCATGGGGGTCCTGACCACTGAAGAACAGGGTAAAAGGGGGCTAACAAAGTATCAGAGAAACAGATGGACTACAGTCTGTAACTGTAGAACTACAAAGTGCACCTATATAGTAAGTGGAGCATAGAAACAAGGAGGTGGTCAGAATGTTATGCCTGATCGGTGTATATGGTCAGTGGAGCTGATGAAATGGACAAGGAGATGGTTTTAATGTTATTTCAGATATAAATGCTGTAAATGTTTAATATTTTTATCTCATTCTCTTAGAGAAATTGCTCAGAGCGTCACTCTGGAGAGCATTGAGACTCAAGCCTTCAACAACCTCCTCAACCTCTCAGAGATGTAAGTGCTGCTTAAAGACCAGCCGCAACGTGTTTTTACGTCTTCATATGTAGAAATCAGACCGAATCTACACAGAACAGACACAAAACAACTCACACAGCAGAACAAGAGGTCAGTCAGACCTCGGGCAGGAAACATCCTGGAGCTGGGACAGCGAGCAAGTGCAGGGCGCTCAACATGATTTACAAACAACCCAGAAGAGAGAGATTTTAAGTGCGATCTCCTCTTAATCCTGTTTATATCTTCTAGACAGAGTTGCACTTAAGCCGTTTCCTCCTGTTTCTGAAATTCGGCTTCTGAGAAACAACTCAGAACTTAGCTGAATAATATTTACATGATTAAAGTGTTAGATTTCATTGTTGTATTTCACAACTCTCTACTGCACCTCAGAGCTCTTTCAGTGATCTATAAGTGCTGAAGCTGAAATGCTTCTCTCATTTATCACCTTCTTACAATAAAATGCTTGTGTTGATCTCATAAAAAGGGGAATCATAAAATATTTTTCCATAATTAAACAGTTAAGATGTAAACAGAGTCGTTCAGAGTGGTTTGGTGTGAAACGCTCTGTTCTAAATAAACTGAGTCAGAACTGTTCACAGTGGTGGTGATGGGAACCAGACGTCCACCTCTAAAAGCTCCCTCACAGAGAGTTACTACATGAAATGGTTATGAATTCACTGCCTGATGACTGAGACACTGTTTTATGATAGTTTTATGAAAATGGAGGGGTACACTCAGGATAGTGAAGCAAAATAGTCCCTAAAGAAAACTTATTATTTCATACATAGGAACCAGGGGTCGCCATACAACATAAATATAGACATTTTATTTACTATCTAGAACCACAAGTGAACCTACACGAGTCTTCTGAGTTACATGGAATGTTGATGATGGAAAATAGTGGAAAATCTGAAATAATACGTTTTCTTTGGGGACTATTTTGCCTCACAGCGCCCTGCATGTATCCCTCCACCATGAATGGAGTTTAAGTTCTCTAAACTATCATAAAACAGTGTCTCAGTCATCAGGCAGTGAATTCATAACCATTTCATGTAGGAACTTTCTGTGAGGGAGCTTTTAGAGGTGGACGTCTGGTTCCTATCACCACCACTGTGAACAGTTCTGACTCGGTAAGTTTCTCTAGAACGGAGCGTTTCACACCAAACCACTCTGAACGGCTCTGTTTACGTCTCACACAGTGAACCAAACAGAAATTTTGAAAAAGGTGGAATTCCTCTTTGGGGGCTTTTAGGAGAAATAAATTGGAAATTAGTGATCACTGAATTTGTACAATATTTAGATCTGGTTTATTTCTCCTGAGACACAAGTTGACCTTAATAAAGACATTTTGCTTCAAGAAGGTAAACAATTCAGTCAGCACATTTTTAGCAATAGGAAAACATGCTATCATGGCTAACAATGAATACATCGGTTAACAGGACCTCACCGGCCTAAAGCTCCCTCACACCACTAAATTTTCAATATTAATTTGTGTTTTTATTGTACACTCTTATAAAAACTGGTTCTTCAAGGTTTCTTTAGTGAAGAAAATGGCTGTATATAGAACCATAAGCACTCGAAAACCTCTTGCAAGATTACAGGGTTCTTTGCATCATGATCTGATTTGAGGGAGAATGTGCATAAATGTGCTACATACGTTTCTATATATAGAATCTTCTTCAAAAGGGTTCTATATAGCACCCAAAAGGGTTCCTTTACTATTGCAAGCTTGATTTGTTCTGAATTGAAGTACCCTTTTCAAAAAGTTTTGATATAGAACCATCTTAAGCACATTCTCCACCAATATGAAGAACCATTTCATGATGCAAAGAACCCTGTAATCTTGCCAAAGGTTTTCGAGTGCCCCTGGTTCTGTATACACTGCAAAAAGTGATATTTTAGCAAGTGAAAACAACTTAAATCAGACAATATATCTAATATTTCTCTTTCTGAGATCGTTGTCAGGATGTTGTAAGATTATTGCACTTCCGGACAGTTTTACATCTTTTAAGCAGTTTTATCTGGCAGATCATTTTAACTTGTTTTGAGAAATAATGAAGATAATTTTGCTAATTTAAAAAAACAAGTAAAATGATCTGCGAGTGGAATAAGACACTTTCATAAGACAAAATGAGTTAAAACAAGTAAAAAAAATGTCCTGAAATTAGTTAAATAATCTTATAATATTCTTACAAAAATCTCACAATGAGAAATTTTAGATATATTCTCTGTGTTGAGATGTTTTCACTCACTGAGAGAGTGTATTTTTCTGCAGTGGATTTCGATGCTCCTCATGTGTGAATCATGTGTGCTAGTATGGTGTCACATTCCTTTATAAAAAGACATGCAGTTCATTGTTGAACCACCAACTATGATTTGATTGCAGATCGATCCAGAACACGCGGAGCCTGGTTCACATCGGCCAGCGGGCCTTCAGTAACCTTCCCAAGCTGAGATATCTGTGAGTGCTTTATGTCTTCTGAAAAAGCTTTCCGTCATATTTCAGGGGTGCAAATGTTTTTGCCTAATTCCAGCTGCTGGAGACTTTCCTAAAGAATGCTGAACATTCTGAGGCCCTGAGTTCGACTCACCACCCAGACATGTGTCACATCTGCGTTACACGAGTGGCCACTCTCAGAAGAAGGGGAGGAGTGATTAGCAAGGAACGAGTCATTCAAACAGACTCGCCCATATGGAAAAAAATGTTATGGACATATACTTTTATATATTTGAAATACTTTACAAATACATGATGCTGAAATACATTCCAAACACTAAAATGCATTTCAGAATATTTTGCCATATTAACCAAATATATTTTAAAATGCATTTATTTTAAAATGCATGGGGAAATATTACACATAGAAATGGACCATACAAAAATAAATGTTTGTAAATGTGTTTATCAAATCCATTTGAAAATGCATGAAAATATCCAGAATCCTGTCTGATGCTCTTCACTGTCTGATACCTTTAGAAATGAATTTGTGTTCCAGTATCTTCATTTTAAATCTGATCAAATGATCCTTTAACAGGACAGAAGCGAGTGTTGTGGGAATCAGCCAGAAATGAACCCAATACCATTCGCCAAACGTGTAGTCTGATCCTCAGAGTCTGACCAAATCAGACTGAGCCATAAAACTGCTGCAATATCAAGTTCAGCTCAGTTTTGTCAGTTTTTGCCAGATCAGTATTAATGTTGTTTTGTTCCAGCCAGTCTGTAAAGCATCTTACAGCCCATTTAGTTTGGCGAATGGTGTTGGGTTCATTTCTGGCTGATTCCAGGTTGTTCAGCTGTTCTTCTGTCTCAGCTGCCGACTGAAAAGCTGCTCAGTGGTGACAGTTTGGGAATTTAGTGTCGTCTCATCTTCAGAGTCTGACCAAATCGGCTGTCGGTCAAATGTGATCTTAAAAGTGTCCATTTTCTGTTTGTGGCAAAGTAAGAAGTAAAAACGTTCAAATGGCCTGAGCGTCTCCTACAGCTGGCAAAGTCGTTGCTTTGCAACGGTGAAAACCTGTGATGTTATGGTGAAATAACAGCACAGTTAGAACGCTTCTCAGCCAATCAGCTTGCGTGGCCGGAACTACCTGTTGTGTAATAATACCACAAACATTTGAAAAATATACTAACAAACACAAATAAATACATTTTAAATAGATATTTAAGACATACATGTTTTGGCCATTTTCATATATTGCAATATATTTGATAAATACATTTGGAATATATATTTTTTCCATATCGGTTTGCAGTGATTTCTGAGCAGGTTGTGCTGCTGAGGTCGACACTGGATCTCTCGCCCCTCCGAGGGCTCATCTAATAAACTTCGCTTGAGCTAATGCAGTAAAGAAACAGCCCTTAATGAGGTGTCAGGGATTCCCTCGAGGGGAAATGACGAGACTGAGTGGACGAGGGCAGTTAAAATCCGTACTGAACTGGACGGTGAATAGATGATGTGAAAAACAGGACAAATTTTTCAGTGTAAACAACCAAGAAAAGGAAGACCTGCTTCTCTCCTTCTCACTCTGGCCTGATTCGTGTGTGATTAGCTGAAGTGTTTAGACGAAAGTCTACTTAACTCTTATTCCAAGGACCCACTGCTAATCTTCACAGCCCCCATTTAAACACAAACAACTCCAGCCTAAGTTCGACACCATCCTGAAGGACAGGCGGGATCCTGCTGATGTTGACCGTGTTATCTGGGTTCTGATACGTTCCACTCCTTCTCATTTCCACAGGAGCATCTCCAACACTGGCATAGCTGCGTTCCCTGACCTGACGTCCATCTCGTCTCTCGAAGCTTCGTTCATGCTGTGAGTTCTGAGTCACGTGGTTTTATTGGCCCAGCCAGAAAAATAGACGGCAAACAAGTGAAGCTCGTGGCAAACGGCACACTCTTAAAAAGACAAGTTCATGGTTCTATATAGAACTCTTTTCTTTACTAAAGAACCCTTGAAGAACCATGTTTCTTGAGTGTGCATCGACAGCACATTCTCCATCAATCTGAAGAACCATTTGATGATGCAAAGAGCCCTTTAATCATGCAAAGGGTTCTTTGAGCGTTCCTACTAAACAACCCTTATATAACCATCTTTATAGGTATGTACACTCTTAAAATGGTTCTTCAAGGGTTCTTTAGTAAAGGCAATGGTTTAGAACCATGCATTCTATATAGAACCATGCTTAAGTAGGTCTTTGCATGGTGAAATGGTTCTTCAGATTTATGGAGAATGTGTTGCACATGGTTCTATATAGAACCTTTTTTGAAAATTGTTCTATATAGCACCAAAAAGGGTGTGTACTAGCTTGACATCTTAACAATGGCAGAATCCTTCTTCAAATGATCCTTTAACAGGACAGAAGCGAGTGTTGTGGGTATTGATACTCTGTGAAAATGCAGTTATGATCTGATATCTTGTTTATGTGAAGTACATTGTGTGTGAGAGTCTGACTGCAGACGTACATGGTTAATGTAAAGTCAGTACTGTTCATTCAGCTCATGTGTATTTAGTTACATCTGTGACCTTTTGTTAAAACTATATACAATTGAAAAAATATAATAACAAACAAATGTTTTTTGCTATTTGTATACGTTGCAAAAATGTATTGATATGATAAATACGTGTTGAATATATTTTTTACACAACACTAAAATGAGAGTGGGAGAAAAATAAGGTTCCAGAACATTCAGTCATGTATTGTATGGTCGACAGTGTAATGATAGTAACGCGTTACTGTCTTTGTTTGCCTCTGTTTTAGTGATATCTGTGACAACCTCCACTTGCGGTCAGTCCCACCGAATGCCTTCAGTGGAATGACAAGTGAAGACACCACAATGTGAGTATCTCATAGTGTCTGTCAAACCGTCAACAAACTGAAAAGCTGCGTCTGTATCTTTGTGATGATCCAGCACAGAAATCCAGTTCAAACACTTCCTGAATCTGTAGAGTCGCCCTTTCCATTCCATCTTATCATGAGATCATACGAGACTCACATCCGGAGTTATGAGCCTATGAAGAGGGGCTGAGATACACGTCATCTGCCTCTCACCGTGTGGAACTGGTGGATTGGTGTGTCCGTCTACATTCTGTGTAAACCTGACCAACGGACACTCAGGAAATCACTAAGGACTGACCATCACGCCGGAAACCCTTCATTCAGTCCACATCGGAGACTCATGTGAAACGGCGTGCAGAGAGTTTACAGCTGCTGAAGCTGCTGCAGTGGTTTTGGAAAGTAGTGATGAAGATAACGGAGCATTTAGATATGAAACATATGAGGATCATGATATATGACGAGCCTTTAAAGGAGAGTTTAAGAAGATATGAACAGATCAAGAGAATGACCACGTGTGTCAGGCCTCAGGTCATTTCATGCAATAACTGTATTCATGACCATTTAATATGACTACTACTTGTAATAATAGTGTATTTACAACCATTTCATGTAGTAACTTTCTGTGAGGGAGCTTTTAGAGGTGGACGTCTGGTTCCTATCACCACCACTGTGAACAGTTCTGACTCAGTAAGTTTCTCTAGAACAGAGCGTTTCACACCAAACCACTCTGAACGACTCTGTTTACATCCTAACCATTTAATCATGCGGAAATTTTGAAAAAAGGTGGAATTGCCCTTTAGGCTTGGGACAGTATGAATATCTCTGGATTTTATGCTGTAGTAAATCCCAGCCTTAGTTAACTTGGGACTACACTATGCAGGATGAGATGGTCTCCAGGAGCAGTCTAAAGCGTTTAGAAGAACAAGCCCAGTCTTTTATGATGATACTGTATGTTGGCTAAAAACAAAGAATTACAGATCAAACAGTATGTAAATCTACTTGAAGTTAATATTAGAGCGAGTATTTGTGTTAACGATGTCGCTGCTGCTCTTCTTCTCTTTTCTAGGAACCTTTATAACAACGGCTTCAGAGAAATACAAAGCCATGCCTTCAACGGGACAAAAATAGACATACTGTAAATATTGCCTTTTTTAAAATTTACATTTGTGCCTTTGCTAAGAACATGTCAGATAAGCAGTTATGCTTACCTTACAATCATTTTCCTTTTCTTAGAATATTGAAGAACAACCGAAACCTGCAAATAATCCACAGAGAGGCCTTTAGAGGAGCTGCTGGCCCTACTGTACTGTAAGTGCTGTCCAGCAGAAGAGTAAATCTGACTGTGCAAAAGTCAGAGAGCACTCTTCATTTATTTCATTTCCAGTCAAAACAGCTATTAGTTACAAGTTATTCATTTTACAGCATCAGAAAAATAGCAGACAACACATATTTAACAAAAAGCCTCAGCAGCTAACTCTACTCTCAGCTGAGTGAGTCAGTGAGTCACTCTCTCCCTTTATTCCAGCCTCCATTCTTTTCAGGAGACTCACTTTCAGTTCCTCAAAGAATCTGCAGACACACCTCCAAAGTTCAGTCTTAGAAGCTGGTTGATCATTTTCTGAAGTAATCAAACACATTCAGTGGTGTTGAGGTCTGGACTCTGGGGTGGTCAGTCCATCGTTCAGCTTCTTTGTTTGATGTGTCCGTCTCCTTTTCTCAGTGAGGTTCTTCTTGACAGCTACACATCCTTTCAGACCCACAGCGCTGAGTCGTCTTCTCACAGTGGAAGGATGGACAGAAACACCTGTGGATGTTTTCAGATCTGATCAGCTTGATTTTCTCCTCTCTCTCAGAGATGAAAGCTTTAAGTGCTGTTTATCTGATGGGGGCAGTGTTGGGGTCGACCAGCTCTTCCAGGTGGTTGTTAGGAAACACATTTTCTCTGTAGCCTTTAATCAGTTTCATCTCCTCAGAAATATCCAGTGAAAATGAATAACTTGTACTTAATGACTGCTTTGCCTGGAAAATAAATGAGACAGTGGTCTCCCTAATATGCATGTTTCCTTCATGTAGAGCCTGTTGATTATGCAGGAGTTGATTTACTGAATTATCATCTGCTTTTATAGTTTCTCTTCGTTTGTATATGAAGAAGCTGTGTTCACTGCACTGTCGCTGTGTTGCAGAGACGTGTCCTCCACAGCTCTGGAGACGTTGCCCTCTGTCGGAATGCAGTCAGTTCAGAAGCTGGTGGCTCGCTCGGCGTTCTCGTTGAAGAGGCTGCCTCCCCTGAAGAGCCTGGAGAACCTGAGGGAAGCTCAGCTCACCTACCCCAGCCACTGCTGCGCTCTGCTCAGCTGGGACGCCCACAGGTTCCTGTTCCTTTAAATACCCATTCATCATTCACCATTCAGTGGCTCATCACTTCATTACCACACTCCTAAAAAAAGATGGTTTTTCAAGGGTTCTTTAGTAAAGACAGTGGTTCTATGTAGAACCATGAACACTCAAAGAACCATTTGCATGCGTCAACACACTCTCCATCAATCTGAAGAACCATTTCAACATAAGCATACACATACTTACATACTTAAAATGTTCATTGTGGTTCTTTGCATGTTGAAATGGTTCTTCAGATTGATGGAGAATGTGTTGTATATGGTTCTATATAGAATCTTTTTGAAAAGGGTTCTTATAGCACCAAAAATCATTTTTCTATTATATACAAACTTGACAACGTATCAATAAAACAACCCTTTTAGGTGCTGTAGAGAACCATATACAACACGATCTCCATCAATCTGAAGAACCCTTTTACCATGCAAAGAACCACCATGAACACTCAAAGAACCATTTGCGTGCTTAAACAGTTCTTTGCATGGTGAAATTGTTCTTCAGATGGATGGAGGTGTTATATATGGTTCTATACATAACCTTTTTGAAAAGGGTTCTATTTTGCACCATTCTGTTGGATACAAACTTGACAATGTAACAGTAGAAGAACCCTTTTTTGGTGCTATATAGAACCATATACAACACATCCTCCATCAACCGATTTCGCTGTGCAAAGACCCCTTTGTGCATGCAAATGGTTCTTTGAGTCTTAATGGTTTCTCAGTGAGGCTCCAGACACTAAAAGTGTACTTACTGTAATAAAATAAATGAAGGGTGTCTTTGACTTTTGCACAATACTTTCAAAGGTAAAACCATATCATTGTTAACACTTTTGGGAGATGTTCTTCAGCAGCTGTATTTATTTTCTATTTCTTCCAACAGGGAAGCTCCATCTTCAGCACTGAGAAACGGATCTTCATACTGTGAAGAGCAGAGTCTGTCAACTACGTAAGCATTAATATAGAACTTTGGCATCATATTTCTGGTAGAGATGAAATTGTTTGCTTCACTATAACATCGTGTCTAGTTGATCAAGCAACAATATCACTCTCAAAAGACGGTTCTTCAAGGGATCTTTAGTAAAAGCAACATATAAACCAAATAGCTGCCTGGTTCGGTTTTAATTTCATTTTATTAGACTTTAGCTCAACCACACCAGAGACGTCTCAGTTTAGCCTGTTTAGGCTGTGTTCCATTGGAAGCAGCTTTGTTGCAATAAACAATGCTGAAGTAGTTAAATAGCAGGGAGAGCCTTTTGGTTTATTATACTATATCAATACTTTTATTAATCAAAATCATTCCTAAAGTTGCCTGAATCGCTGAATCAAATCATTGTTTTTGGATCGCCTTGAATAGAATAAAAAGCGACAACCAATGCATTGTGAATGAAATTGGTTCACTGTCAGCTCATCAAATCATTTTTACTTCGCAGAATTCATTTTTGATTTAAATAAAAAAACAATGAATGGTGAATTGAATTAATTCACTGTCAACTCATGAAATCATTCTTATTTTGCTAAATTAATTTTTGATTCAAATAAAAAAATAATGGACGGTTAATCGAATCAATGCACTGTCTTGTCTTAATTCGCGAAAATAATTTTTTATATACAATAAACAATGAATGGTGAATTAAATCGAATCACTGTCAGCTCATTGATCATTCTGAATCAGCTTCAGTGGAAACAAGTGTCCCTGCATGAGAACCTTATGTACAAAGCAATTTGCAATGCCCTAATTCTTGCAGACGATTCAATAGCGAGCCAATAAAATAAAAGTGTTCAGCAGCTCATGAGCCAATGGTTGTCTTCATAGGCGGAGTTTGGGGTCCAGCAGCAGGTGAGCTGTTTCACCTACTGGCCAGAGCTTAAATAACTTTAAAGTGTGAGAACTACAATGACTGAAAAGGATAAAATATGAAATTAAAAAATGTTGTTGATTTTTTTCCAAATTGTAGAGTGATGTGCTTGTGTAGTACAAGGTGTGCACAGTTATTAGCATTATCATGTTATTTTCTCTTTTTTGCTGTTATTTTTTAGATTATTTATGTTTTTGAGAGTAATTTTGTTGTTTAATTGCAAATCAGGCATTTTTCAGGCTATTAAGATTATCTGCTGTCATAGAATATTCACTGTTACGCTGATGATATTCAGATTTATATCAGCATCAAGACTACCACTAACCTGCAACCCCCTGCCCTAATATCTTGTATTCAAGACCTTAGACAATGGATGAAGACTAACTTTCTGAAACTAAACACTGATCAAACTGAAATTTTACGCATTGGTGCCAGGTCTGTGATAGCAAATTCCACTGACTTCACACTTAACTTAGTCGGTATAACTGTAAAAACTTCTACAGGAGTCCTTGTATTTAGTAGATTCTGTACTTTCTTTTGAACTTTTTTCAGTATTTGCAAAACTCAGAAGCTGGAATTCTCTCTCACTCTGAAAATCAGCTCATATCACCCCAATTCTATGTCAGTTACACTGGCTACCCGTCCTGCTTCACATCCAGCTTAAACTCCTGCTGCTAACATACTACTTCTAATAATACTACTACTAATAATAATAATAATAATCATAATAATAATACATTTAATTTATAATGCACCTTTCATTTAGTTGGAAATCTCAAGGTGCTATCTTTACATAGGCACCAGCCTATTTAGCTGAGCTCCTGCACTTCTACTGCCCTGCCCAAACACTTCGGTCCTCTAATACTGCCACAAAATTTAGATTGGTCACTGCTGGGGGCAGATCTTTTAGCGTCATGGCCCCCAAACTAGGCAACACATTACATTACTACAATCTCTTTGTGATGGTCCCTCACTTTCCTCTTTTAAAGCTCAGCTTAAAACCTGCCTCTTTTCTCAGTACTTTCTTTTTTTGCTCACCGAAGGTTTTTCTTTCTTCTGCCTCTGTAAAGCGACCTTGGGTTTGAGAAAGGCGCTATATAAATTGAACATATTGCTATTATTTTTAAAATATTATACTCACACTCCAACATGTAGATATGCCCAAGATGACACTGATGAATAATAAAACCGTGTGCAGCTTTGATGAATAAGAGCCAATATATCAAACAGGCTCTAAAGCCGCTTTTCCACTACATGGACTCAACTCGCTTCTGGTACCAGCCACTTCGTTTTCCACTGCAGATATAGTGCCCCCTCAGTGTAACTGGTCGTCAGAGCAATGCCACATGAAACTGCCGTGATGTGAATTTTGTCCAGAAGAGGCTGATGGCAGTGAGACAAAAGACTGCTGAAAGAAACAGGAGAGTTTGGGAAAAACTACATCATATTTCAGACAACGAGACGATTCTGGATACTCAAAGGCGATGCAAGAGGGGACGCTAACCTAAGCTAATGTTAGCACAGGTGTTTAGCGATTCTCTCCGACCAATCAGTAGTCTGCACCGTTTTTACATCACCTTTGGGATCAGCTCAGCTCACTTGGAACAGCAATGAAGGTGGGACCCAAAATGGTATCCAGTACCAGGTACCATGTACCAAGATTGCCTAGTGGGAAAATCCAAAAGAAGTGAATAGAGTCGAGTTGAGCCAGTACCATGCAGTGGAAAAGCAGCTTAAGGAACTCTGCTGTAAAATTTACATTTGCTAAGCTGTGAGTTTCTCTTTCTACGTTTTCATATTTAGAAATGCAGGTGATTCCATAACGGTGGAAGATCCCTTTTCCTCTGACACGTCAGGACGTTTCGGCTTTGTAGACTTCGAGTACCCAGAACTGGACTCCTGCCAGACGAAGCCAGTCCTTCACTGCAGCCCAGAGGCAGACGCCTTCAACCCCTGTGAGGACATTGCTGGGTTTGGGTTCCTGCGGGTGGCCATCTGGTTCATCAACATCTTGGCTATCGCCGGCAACCTAACGGTTCTTCTCGTGTTCTTTGCTGGCCGCTGCAAGCTGACCGTCCCTCGATTCCTCATGTGTCACCTGGCTTTTGCCGACTTCTGCATCGGCGTGTACCTCCTCATGATCGCCACCGTAGACCTGCGGACACGTGGCCACTACAGCCAGCACGCCATAGAGTGGCAGACGGGAGTGGGCTGCGGCGTCGCCGGCTTCCTCTCCGTCTTTGGTGGCGAACTGTCTGTCTACACGCTGTCTACCATCACTGTGGAACGCTGGCACACGATCACCCATGCTCTGCGGCTGGAACGTCGGCTCGGTCTGCGCCAAGCTGCTGCCATCATGGCTGCAGGTTGGCTGCTGTGTCTGGTCATGGCCGTGCTCCCCCTAGTGGGCGTCAGCAGCTACAGCAAGGTCAGTATGTGTCTGCCTATGGACATCGAGACCATCGTGGCCCAGGCCTACGTCATCCTCCTGTTGCTCTTCAATGTGGGGGCCTTCCTGGTGATCTGCGGGTGCTACGTGAGGATCTACACTGCCGTGCACCACCCTGAGGTGCCTGGGCGGGCCGCTGACACCAAGATCGCCAAGCGCATGGCCGTGCTCATCTTCACCGACTTCCTCTGCATGGCACCCATCTCCTTCTTCGCCATCTCCGCCGCCTTCAAAGTGCCCCTCATCACCGTCACCAACTCCAAGATCCTCCTGGTGCTCTTCTATCCCATCAACTCCTGTGCCAACCCTTTCCTCTATGCCATCTTCACCAAGGCCTTCAGGAAGGATGCCTGCCTGGTGCTGAGCTCCATGGGCTGCTGCGAGAGCAAAGCCAACATGTACCGCATTAAGATGGCGTACTATTCGGAGAACGCCGGGAAAAGCAAGAGCAGTTCAGGCAGCAAGGATCCACGCACCGCTGCATGGTGGTCCTCATGTCCTCACCAGAAACCAGAGGGCAGCTGAGGAGAACGTCTCACAGTTCTTCGCCAGACGCTTCTCGTCTTTTTTCATTTCTGCGTGGTGCATTACATTTGCCAAGTGTCCCTTTCTGCGTTTTTTTGGTTTGACGAGGCAGGCGGGCGTGAGACGGCTTTCACAGGAGCTATTTTCTTGCAGACAATGGGACTATTTTTCTCAAGCAGGAGAGCTCATTTATCCCAGGACACAGAGACTCTTGATTCTGAGCTTGTTCATGTCCAGAGAGGAGCAGAGACTTCGGCAGTCAAGGTTGAGTCTATTGTTATGGGTTATAAAAGAAGAAATAGATTTGTGCATCATAGATTATGGTTCTTTCCTCGGTCCTTCCCACTTTTTACCTTCCTTGTATCATAGCCTAGTTTTCTTTACAACAAATAATGGGGATGTCATGAGTTCATCTTCTTTTTGTGACATCAAGGGTACTCTAAGAACATCCTGGACGGATATTTACTCCATTATCCTCTGCGGTTGGATTGTACTAAAGAAATTTATAATAAATTTAAAGGGGTACATTGAGTTCAAATGACACCTTACCTTGGGTCGAGGCACCCAAATAAACTTGGTTTGTGAATCTCAAATATGTTTGAAGTCTTAACAACACAATATCATAGATATATCATGTGATAAAACATAGCTACATGAATCGAAAGGGGATGGAAAGGAGGGGATGACAGTTTTCCCATCACAGGGCTATTAGGGCCCTAAAAGCCCTGATTTAAAGGGGAATTCCACCAGTTTTTCAAAAATATCCACATTATTCTGTGGTTGAGATGTAAACACAGTAGTTCAGAGTGGTTTGGTGTGAAACGCTCCGTTCTAGAGAAACTTACCAAGTCAGAATTGTTCACAGTGGTGGTGATAGGAACCAGACGTCCACCTCTAAAAGCTCCCTCACAGAAAGTTACTACATGAAATGGTTATGAATTCACTGCCTGATGTCTGAGACACTGTTTTATGATAGTTTTGAGAAGATTTTGGCCTTACAATCCATTCATGGAGGAGGGATAACTAACCTGCAGGGTGTTGTGAGGCAAAATAGTCCTCAAAGAAAACTTATTATTTCAGGTTTTCCACTATTTTCCATCATCGAAAACTCAGAAGACTCGTGTAGGTTCACTGGTGGTTCTGGATAGTAAATAAAATGTCTACATTTGTGTTGTAGTCATGGCGACCCCTGGTTCCTATCAGCACCACTGTAAAGACATCTGAATCATTTCACACCAAACCACTCTTCACACCCCTCACTGCAGAAACAAAATGCTCTACAGCCAAAAAAACACTGAAAAAACATCTCATCAAAAACTATTTCTATTAAAAACACAACACTAGAGTTCTTACTGTATTACTGTAAGAGAACCTACAAAAGGTTCTGTAGTTTGCTCTGTAGTTTATGTTTTGCATTATTAATTTATTATTCTTTGGCTGAGTATGTAAACACACTGTAACAGTGAAACAGGGCAGCAATTGAACTGAAAAGTGTTTTTGTGGTTGTAAAATATAAATGTTGTTCAATCAAACTGAAGTTTTGCTTTGTATTGTTGTAATAAGTATTTCTTTGAGTTGAATAAAAACAGTGCAAGTGTTTGTTACCACACGACATTTTTTTATTACAGTGAATGAACAAAGACTTCCAAATTTTTCGGGCCCACTTGAGGGCCACATCCTCGTGTTTGTTCTGGCCCAGGATACGACTGGGTCTTCGGCCCAGATCTGGCAGATCTGGCCCAAATGCTGCAAAGTATGTAGAAGAAATGGACGTGGCCCAAGTCTGGCCCAAATACATTGTTGGTCCACAACATTTACAACAGAATTGCTCCTCAAATATAGACACGAGGCAAAACCGTATGATGCTGTCCGGGATCTGGTTCTGTTCTGACCCAGTAGTCAACCCCACGTTTGAAAGAATCAGCCCAGAACGCTCCGCTGTCTAGATCTTAACATCAGACAAACATAACAGAACAGAACAGGATTTTTTTGTAGGAACAAATGAAGTAACAGAAACTAAAAGATCCAGTTCTCTACATTATCTAGCAAAAAAAACAGATACAACTCACTCTACACTCTTAAAAAGATGGTTCTCCAAGCAAAAAAGATGGTTCTTTGGTAAAGACAATAGTTCTCTATTGAACTATCAACATTCAAAGAACCATTTGCATGCTTAAATTGATGGAGAATGTGTTGTACATTGTTCTGTGTAGCACCAAAAAGGGTTCTTCTACCATTATATCAAGCCTGTATCAATAGAAGAACCCTTTTCAAAAAGGTTCTATATAGAACCATATACAACATATTCTCCATCAGTCTGAAAAACCATTTCGCCATGCAAAGAACCACTTAATCATGCAAAAGGTTCTTCCAGTGTTCATGGTTTTACACAGAACCATTTTCTTTACTAAAGAACCCTTAAAGAACCAAAGTGTATGCAGAACTATATACAACACATTCTCTGTCAATCTAAAAAATAATTTCTACATGCAAAGAACCATTTAAGCATGCAAATGTTTCTATGTAGTGCCTTTTTTAAATTGGTTCTATGTAGCACCAAAAAGGGTTCTTTTATTATTACAGTGTCAAGCTTGTGTACAATAGAAAAACTCTTTCTGGTGCTCTACAGAACCATTTTCAGAAAGGTTCTATAAAGACCATACACAACACATTCTCCATCAATCTGAAGAGCCATTTCACCAATGCATGCAGAACCTTTTTTGAAAACGGTTCTATATAGCACCAAAAAAAGATTTTCACATCAACCCGTTTTGGTGCTATACAGAACCATAAACAACACGTTCTCCATTCAAAGAGCCATTTCAGCATGCAAATGGTTCCTTGAATGTTCATGGTTCTATTTAGAACCATGTCTTTACTCAAGACCCCCTGTAGCAGCATCTTGTCTGAGGGTGATGCAGAAGTATAGGAAGTCAGCTGCTGTCAGTCGCTGCTGATGAAGTGAAGCTGCTCTGTCAGGCTGAAGGTTTTATCATGGAAAGAAGATAAACGTCCAAACATCTCAAGGTTCGCTGTTCAGCTCTTATCTCTGAGTTAACGACATACTCTGGTCTTCAGAGAGGTCACAGGGCTGTGACTCGGCGTTCTGTCGCTGACCTTGTTATTTGTACATAGTATGACTTCAGATAACCTCGTTTTCCAGACACGCTGGGACTCTGGGGCTGTGAAGTTACATCACCACTGGAAAAATTCAGATAAGCCATTAAAGGTTTCTGTTGGTTCCTGGTGGATTAAGAATGGTCACTTAAGGTGTTCTGTGTTTTCCTGATGGGTTTATATCACAGTAGCCACGTTTACATGCAGCCTGATAATCCATTAATAATCAATAGCTTAATCGGAATAGACTAGTCCGATTGAGGCCATTCGGAATACAGTTTCTATCCGATTGAACGGGGTGGGTAATCCTGTAAATAATCCGTTAAATAGAAGAATAATATTGTATATACGATATATATATATATATATATATATTCAGAGCAATATATATATTCAGAGGATTCAGAGGCTGCGATGTGATTATAAAACGATTATCGATGCATCTTTTTTTCCTATACATCATTTCCATTTTCTTACTGTCTGAGGACTTGGTAGTTTTAAAGCAAAGTATTTGTAATGATCCATAATGCATTTACGTCCAATATCTTTTATTAATGAGTCAAATGGAAGTGATGTGGAAAGTGAACTAGAAGGCTCTTATTCACTGCTATTTCTTGGAGCACATGAGACGCTGCTGCCACTCATCTGCGATAAAATGCGCAGTTACGGTGAAATAAGATCCAGTGGCAATGGATCTCCATGTAGCGCGTTACAGCCATCCTTAAGAGTTTAAGGTGGAACAGGAAAATTCAAACAAGAAGCTGGAGCGACTTAAAGAAGCGACTTCAGCCTCGTAAAACAGACGAACTTTGAAAGACATTTTACAAGAAACTGCTCTATTTTTGAGGAAAAGTTTTCTGGTGGAGATGGAAGGAAAGCGACTAAAGCTGAGCTGAAGTTTAAAGCAGAGTGAAGTAAATCCACGTTTTCGTTTATATTTTAACCTAACTTATAGCTGGACATTAACACACACTGAGATATACTGGACATTAAATGTTGTGGTGCCCAAGGTGGTTTGATTTTTGTTGAAAGGACAAAATGGCTCTTCTTATCGTTTGTGTTGTGACTCCTGACCTAACCTGGCTTTAATGCAGAGGGAGCCGGTCGGATTTCTCACTCATCCATCCATTTGTGTTTTTGTTATGTGCCGCCACAAACTGTCCGGGCGCTGCACTTCCGCACTTCCAGGTTCCGCCTTTTGCGTTCCGTCAACGTTACGTTATAAATTAAATGTTTAGAAAATCGATTTTTGACATTTGTGAATCGATTCAGAATCGTTCACATCCGCATCGCGATGCATCTAAGAACTGATTTTTTCCCGCACCCCTATAGTAGTTAAGTAGTTTTTTCGTGTATCTGTACTCTACTGAAGTATTTCCATTTTTCCTTTCACTCCACTACATTTCAAAGTCAAATATCTCACTTTTTACTCCTCTACATTATGAGAAATCTGTCGTTCCTTTTGGTTTATGTGTGAATAAAAACGTAACGTCAAAACGAAAGAAGCGCGAAGCAAAAACACCAATCAGGGCACAGCGGTCACTTTGTTTTGAGCTTGTTTTGACCTGTTGGTCATACCGACCCAGTGCAGCACACGGTTCAACATCAGTGCAGCAGCGTAAAATTTTGGGAGAGTCTATTCAACATAAATGATGAACTAACCTAACTTTGTGTAAACAGACCACAATATAGAAATATGTACTCATATGCAGTTGTGACTGACGTGTCTTTTTTCTGAATTTATACAAACACATTTCATTTTATAGTAAATTAGTTTTGTCTAGTTTATGTTTATGAACAGAGACCTACAGATGCAGTTTAGTAAAGGAAACTCATTTGAGAATCTGAGTTTAAAGTCTTTATTAATCTTAAACTTGGAACTA